CTAAGGTAAGACTAGTTTAGCGTCATGGACATATATATTTATAGAACAATATTTAATGGATCTTAACCTTAACTCTTTAGAGCTGAAATATATTTGCAGTTTATAGAGTTTTTGTATTGTTTTGTCCTCTTGTTTTACATAAATGTCATTATCATCAGGGTATTTGAAGGTGAGCCACACACTGTTCTCTATGAGTTTTACCCTGAGACCAAAGAGGAGCTGGCTGTGTTGCCTGGCAACATTGTCTTCGTTCTTCAGAAAGGAGCTGACAACTGGGCATCTGTTGTTTTCAATGAGAAGGTATATTTTGTTAGATTAAAAATAAAAATGTATCATAGAGGACAGTACAATGAGAACAGAAAATTATGGAGAGAGGGAGGTGGAATTATACATTGAACAAAAAATAAATCTCCCAGCCAGTGTTCACTGTCAAGAGAACATTCCAATATCTTGCTAATGTAATCAACACGTGTTCAAAGTAGAAATAATGCCCTATTTTCTTTTCTCTCTCTCTCTCTCTCTCTCTCTCTCGTTATTTCCAGCGGGGTCTTGTACCTTATAACCAGGGATGGGCAGTATTTCATATACATGTATTTAAAATACGTATTTGAAATACAAAATACTATTTTGTATTTTGTATTTGAAAGCCTTTGGCAAAAATCAAATGTAATTTGTATTTAAATACATTTAAGATTAGTATTTTTGTATTTTCAAAATACATAAAATACTGTGTGCCAGTCAACCTCTTTATCAGGGTGCTGATTTAGTTCAGACACACCCCCAACCCCAACCCCAACATTCATCACGTGAGCTGCAGCTGTACAGCTTCCCTGCTTATAACTTCCTTGAACCCTTGGATATTGTTACAATGACATCAACACCAATGCAGGTACAGTAATTGCATTTTGAACAAATATACAGTATTGCAAACAGCAATAAGTAGCTAAATGTTGGGAGTAAATACCAAAATACAGGCACACAGTAATGAATTGTATATAGATTTATCATTCAACCCTACTTTTGATGCCTTCATGTGCACCTGGGAAAGTCGTACCTCTGAGTCGGGCATTTGTCATTATGATAACACGGAAGTAGCATAAACAAACATGATGACAAATTTTCATTTCTATCACTTACTTACATGGGATCACAATAAAATGTTTTTGTTACATAAAGCAAACCATTAAAGTTGTGTGATTTGTCGATAGATAGATCATAGATGTCAATTCTCTGGCAACTATCACCTGAAATTACAAGTTTTTCACTTGTCTGGTAAATTTGACTTCCCTTTATCATTTATGTGCTTGAAACTCAGAATTCTGATTCCACTTGAAGGGCACATATTTCATAATAATCTTCATTTATTATGTCGTTTGTAGAAATCCATGTCATCGTATTCTGTCCTCCAAAAACCACTTTTATTTCCTCACATTACAGCTAAATTACTTTTTGTGTCCTACCCCAGATAGCAAAATGACTCCGGAGCGGATCCGCCCCGGAGTCACCACAAGCTCCGGAACGGATCCGTATCGGAGTCCATTTGCACAGCGCAATGGATCCGGAACAGATAAGGATTACGGATCCGGACCGGATCCGGTCCAGACCCTACCCGGATCCGCTAATAAAGCGGTTCATCTGGCCCGGACCCGTTCATGAAGTAGCTCATCCGCCGTTGATAAAGAAACGGATCCGATCAGGACCCGCTGATTAAGTAACTCATCCGGACCGGATCTGATCTGGACCCGTTCATTTAGTGGGTCTATACCTTATTTAAAATGGGTAATCTGGCCAAAACTAGCTATGGAAATACCTAAAATAGAGCCAACAAACATTATATAGACTAGACTGCTCTATAAAAGTGTAATATGTCTCCCTTTATTAATATTAATAAACCATAAAATCATTCAAAACTTGAAAAAATCTAAACTTTCCTTGGCCAGTAATAATGAAACACTCTATAAAAAGTAGGTAATTACAGGAAGAAAAATAAAAAATAAAATGGAACCACAAAT